CTGTCGACAGAAGTAAAAGGCTAAACATTGGCTTTAAAGTTAAAACGAACCGAACCACAGTCGCATGACTTCAATGTCCTCACCATTAAGTTTCTGACTCTCTTTCTGCCCTATAACCAAGTTTGAGTTTGCAAGAGTATAATTATGAACAATGAAGCTGTGAAAGCAACTAGTGAGTAGATGAGTTTGCATGTGTGATGACTTTTAAAAATAATTGAAATAATGCTTCATTATTTTTAAATACCTAAAACACAGCCAAAAAACCCATTCAAACACCCCACTGACTTCAGGAAGATGGAAGTGAAAGTGCTAATATGATAACTTGATTTTATGTACAGTACTGAAGTTCACATGTATGCTGAACACTCCTTCAATAGCTGCTCCAACGTGGCCATTAAATAACAGAATTTTTTGTTGCATTGGAAATAATGAATCACTAAAATCATCACATTAATTCAGTCCACTGTGTCTGGATCTGCTGGATCTAAACTATAGGTAACAGATCAATGATCTCCATGAGCTGTGCCACTTGGAGGCAGTGTTCTACAACTCCAGTAACTGGCAGTGCTCTGAACCTAGAGAGAATATTCCAGGTCTTTCTGCTTTGTTCATGTATTGTGAGACAGCTACCGCTCGTGAAATGAACTCTTGTCACTTACTCCCCAAACGCTCAGGAAATCATGGTTGCTAGTTTGCCATTCATTTAATTCTTGTCCCCCTGAAGGAGTTCAGAGTGCTACTTGACATCCTTTTGCCATGTTACCTAATCAGATGTTCATTAAGAACATCATTTTAGAGGTCATGTAGGCCGATTCTTTTTTTTTTAATTCAACAGGAGCATCTGCATTAATGGCATGGATTCAGGTTACAGTATCTCCCTTTATTTTTTGCTCACATTGTGTTTGTAACCCCCGCTGTCTTGCAGGGAGATTCACTTGAGGTCTCTGCTTATAAGGTTGATATGGCAACGGCAGGCAGCGTTCGTTAATGACAGGGATCACGCCGCAATGAAACGCACAGGTTCTGCCGTGGCACAGCCTAATTAGATAATTACACAAACAAGAGTTGTAGTCTGTCGAATGAAGGGTTGAGCGGCAGAACATTTGCAGGTACATATAAGATAATGTTGTCATGTGTGCCCATTGTTTATTTGAAAAGGTAAATATTGTTTAAAAGTTAAATATTAATATAAATATATCCAGGTTGAATTTAAAATATAATGAAATAATTGTAAAAATAATAAAATATATATATATATTATAGTTAATGATTAATACAAAATAAATTATATATAGTGTAATAAAATGATAAAGTTAAATTATTTTTGTCAATTTCTGTCATTGCTCAAACTCTAATTGGTTAAATGCTGCTAATAAAAGCATTTGTGACCAAGCAAATAATAGAGAATGACTTGTTTACAGCATTTAGATTAGCTTGACCAACTGAAAAGCAATCAGAATGCACTGCATATAATGTATTATATAACTGTAATTTTCATACACATCAATTTTATTTCAACCTATATTTTTGTCTAACACTTGGAGTCATTACAGCTTGAAACACTTGCTTGCCTTTCATTCCTTTTTACTTTCTTTTTCGGTCCAGTCTCACATCTTTGGTTGTAAGAGCACTAGTGAATTTATGTGGGCAGCTGCTAATTTGCATGGTTTTTGAATATATTTGATCATTTCGTGTTGGCCCGTGACACTTGGCTGCTTTTGATTGCTCTTACTCGAAGTGTAAGTGCATTATGTTTCACGTGTTCTCGTTTGGCATCTGCATTCATGCGTTTACAGGCACGATCTGATTATATGCTACAAATGCCTTAAGAATGAAAGCAGGATTAGAAATCACTTCAGCAAGAGTTGCCTGCCAAGCAAATAAACAGGAATGTAAATATGAAGTCAGTGCAGTTGTCATTTGTCATCGGGATAGTCTGCTTGAAGACGTTTCTCCTGTGTAAGATTGTATCTGCTTCATTACCTCCATTACCACGGCCCATTTGCCTCATATCCAAATAAGGGGAATCGAACACGAACCAAGACATGGTCCCCTCGGTCTTACTTAAACTGCTAGCTCGCTCTCTGTCCCTTGCGCGCTCTCTCTCTCTCTCTCTCTCTCTCTCTCTCTCTCTCTCTCTCTCTCTCTCTCTCACTCTTCCTTTGGCATCTGTATTCTATGAGGAAGAATGAAAAGACACTACTCATTATTAGGGAACGTGGTTGACGATGCATCACCTGGCCCGAATGGGAATTTTTGGAGACAGTAAGTTGTTCGAGGTTTTTTTTCCCCCTTAAATATACTGTACTTTTCAAAAGTTTGGAAACGATGGTTTTTGATGAAGTCTCTTATGCTTACCAATGCTGCATTTATTTGATCATATATGCAGTACATTATTGCGCATTATTACAATTTAAAATAACTGTTTTCTATTTGAATATATTATAAAATGTAATTTATATGTGATGCAAAGCATAATTACTCCAGTTTTCAGTGTCACATGATCCTTCAGAAATCATTCTAATATGCTGATTTGTTGCTCAGTTATTGTTGATGCTTAATAATGGTTCTTATTATCAATGTTATTATCATCATGTGCTGCTATTGTACTATTGTGGTTTTTCAGGATTCTTTGAAAGAATTAATTTGAAATGGAAACTTTTGTAACATTATACGTTTTTACTGTCACTATTTTGATCAGTTTAATGCATATTTGCTATATAATACCAGTAATTTCTATTAAAAACAATCACACGCATACCCCAAACATTTGAATGGAAGTATATCATGGTTTTTGCATAAATATTAGGTAGAACAACTCTCTTCGACATAATAATGAGAAATGTTTCGTGAGCAGCAAATCAGCTTATTAGAATGATTTCTGAAGGATCATGTGACACTGAAGACTAATGATGATGAAAATTCAACTTTGCAACACAGGAATAAATTACATTTGAAAACATATTGCAATAAAAAAAGCAATTGTAATACTAATTTGCAATATTAGTGTTTTTGCTGAGCACATAAATGCAGCACTGGTGAACATAAGGGACTTCATTAAAAACATTTCAAAACAGCAATATTTCCAAATTTTTGTAAGCATTATATATATTCAATATACCTTGGATAGATGGATTTTGGATGATCACATGAGTGCTTTTGTTTTAAGTGTCTAGTTTGGAGTTTAGTATTTAGGCATTGCACTTCTGCTTGTGCTTTGTTATAATTCAAGTTAGTAACATGATCTTTTTGTTGTGAGGCTGCAGAACAGTGTTTGGAGTGAAAGTTTCAGTGTGACATCATGAGAAACAGGATGAGATAACAGCATCCCGCAGAGAACCTAATTTCTCCCTAATAAATGCATATTTGCTATATAATACCAGTAATTTCTATTAAAAACAATCACACGCATACCCCAAACATTTGAATGGAAGTATATCATGGTTTTTGCATAAATATTAGGTAGAACAACTCTCTTCGACATAATAATGAGAAATGTTTCGTGAGCAGCAAATCAGCTTATTAGAATGATTTCTGAAGGATCATGTGACACTGAAGACTAATGATGATGAAAATTCAACTTTGCAACACAGGAATAAATTACATTTGAAAACATATTGCAATAAAAAAAAGCAATTGTAATACTAATTTGCAATATTAGTGTTTTTGCTGAGCACATAAATGCAGCACTGGTGAACATAAGGGACTTCATTAAAAACATTTCAAAACAGCAATATTTCCAAATTTTTGTAAGCATTATATATATTCAATATACCTTGGATAGATGGATTTTGGATGATCACATGAGTGCTTTTGTTTTAAGTGTCTAGTTTGGAGTTTAGTATTTAGGCATTGCACTTCTGCTTGTGCTTTGTTATAATTCAAGTTAGTAACATGATCTTTTTGTTGTGAGGCTGCAGAACAGTGTTTGGAGTGAAAGTTTCAGTGTGACATCATGAGAAACAGGATGAGATAACAGCATCCCGCAGAGAACCTAATTTCTCCCTAATAAGTTCCAGCTTCACTGCATAGTCACTGCATGTGTGCTTGTAGCTTTATAGTGCTGGAGGACATTCAGATGTTCGCTGCTCTTAACCCTTCTGTTTTTACCCAGAGGCCCCTTTAATATCTCAAAAAGCATACTTAACGTTTGAAGCATCAGGATGATGCGGCATGACTTTTCCCTAATCTTACGAGAATGGCTTATAGCAAAATGTCAAGTTGATAACATTAATCACACATCTACTTGGTGTCTCTGCAATCTCAGCTGTATCCACCCACTCCTAAAAAATATTTTATTTGATTTATGCGTTGTATATCAGTCCATGTGCATGTGCGTGACTAATTTGTGGACAACCAGAGGCATAAAACTGTAATGCTATCTAAAAGGTTTTAAATAGGTCAGAGGATCATTCTAATAGAACTTAACGAGAAAATTAGAGGTTAATTTCAAAATTACTTTTATTATTAATCTCAAAGGGATAGTTTGCCCAGAAATGAAAGTTCTGTCATCATTTACTCACCATTGTCAAGTGATTGAGCTCCAATTTTGTTGGGTTCCCAGTGTTCTTTAAAATATATTAAATAATTAAAGACTTTTTTGGTCATATTCACAGTTATATGCAGGATGCAACTTGCATTGAAATGTAAACCTGGTCAGCTGCTTAGATTGTGGATTAAATATATAATAGTTGGCAAAAATTGTAAAACTAATAAAAAATAATCAATGACAAAAAAGGCTTTTAATTTGCCAAATGTACAGAAATGCGCAAGAATATAAGGAGTACAAAACGTGGAGTATGTTACAAGGCACACACATTTAGAAAGTCATCGACATAGTGTTTGTAATTGAAAGCAGAATTGTCATATTAGGGTTAACTATCCCTTGAAAGTCAGTCTCAGCAGAACCCGAGGGTTAAAATGGACTTTTGCTCTGCCTTTTCAGCTGAAGTATAAACATACAGTACAAATAGTGTCTGATCTCTGGCTCTCTCTTCTAGTGTTTGCCTCATGCACAGTCTTTGCGTACACGTGCTGCAAGCGCACAGCCAAACACACAAATGCACAAGCCAGGGAACTGAGAAAAGTGATCGAAGAGGGCATCCTGGGGTTTGTTGAGACGTCCCTATGTGAAATTCAACAGGAGATTATGAAGCGCTCGGGCCCCACCTCTCTCTGCCGTGTGCCAGAACAGCATCAAGTCCTCCTAAGACATCAGGGTCATTGAATGCTCCTTAACGGCCTGAACCTGCCTCCAGGCTTACAGCAGCCCAGTGGCCACATCAACGCTAAATCTCGCACGTGACTCTTACACAAGAAAAGCTGCGGTGGACTTAGTTTTTAGGGGCCCAGGGATCAATCGAAGGTTCTGAGGTGAATTTGCAAGGAGTTCAGTGAGTAACCTAAAGGTTTTTTAGTCATTTCTGCTTGATAGTGTTAAACTTTGCATATTTAGTTGGAGAATGTAACTTCTAATGTCTGCTTATTTCTGTCAGTCAGAGTTTATTATTAACCGTAGGCTGAATAGGAAAGGGACATGGATTGTTGAAGGTTCACTATTGAAATGTAAGAATCCGTTAACAAATCTGCAAGATTTTCAATTTAGACGTCATCTCCATTTAGTTGAGTCTTGAGATTTGAATAGGTTCACGCTGAGCTCTAAATGTGAGGGAGACTATCAGCAATCATTGTTAAGTGTGCAGTTTGCTGAACAGATTTAGGGTCCCCCTGTGGTTCAGTTGAATTGTGGGAACTGGCCTCTCTATTGTCACTCAGTGGTGCTGCTCAGAGCCGTTTACGGTCTCTGTATGTGTCTGACAATAACAAAGCATTTTTGGGGTCTTATGGGTGTCAGACGTAAGCAGCTCTAGCATGATGGGCTTTGTTTCTCAGTATGGCAACAGCGGTGAAGTGATGGACGGTCCATTCCCAGCATTCCTTATCAGAGGTTAAGAACTTTAGATCCCATTTTTCATTGCTTGCATCAGATGGGTGTAACAAATCTTAAAGGGGTCATATGATGTTGCTAAAAAGAACATTATTTTGTGTATTTGGTGTAACGGAGCGACGATTCAAAAACATTAAAACCCATTATAAACGAGGCATTTGTTGCATCCAGTGGGGACATGATTACTTATTATAATAACTTATACGGTCTTTTTACGCGTTGCATCGCGCCGCGTAAACATAAAACCATGTCTGCATTTGTGATTGGAGAAATCGCAAACAACAAGCGCTACTCTACACTGCTCAAAACTCGCGTTTGAATCGTCAGTGGCAAATTCTTTATATATAAAAATCGTGCTTACAGTCTTGTGAGTCAGAACAGCCGGCATTGTAGTCTACTCTCCCAGGATCAGGAAACAGTCCTCCGTAAAATGTGCTGCACACATCTGAATATTTGGGTTGAAGTGTTCTGGAACAGTGTTGTAAATACAACTTAACCACTGATTTCTAGTCGTGTCCTCTTTTGGAAGACCAAACAAAGTAGTTTCGCTTTCACAACGAAACACAGCGTCACACATGGTGGCTAGAGTGAGTGGACGTCATCTCCATTTGTTTGAAATCGCATCATATGACCCCTTTAACATTCTCATTCCCAAGGCTTTTTTAAAAGCGTAAATCTAATGTTTTTTATTGAGACATATTATAAATGTTTGATTAAACTATTGACTATCATAAAATTACAGTAGCGTGAAAAGTAGTTAGTTTTAAAAAACATGTCTGTATCTTGACCTTCTTGTCTGTGACAAAATCTTTAACATCAGATTTAACATTAACATAATGTGATGCATATGTCAGTCATACACAAATGAAGCAGGTTTATGGCTAAACATTTGAGTTGTAATTTTGTTTTCATTTTTTAATATTATAATTTTTTTTTATATATTTTAATATTATTAATAAAGGCTTATTTGTTAAAAGAACTACAGAATCACAAAATGTAAACTGTTTAGATAAAATAAGGTTTCAAAAAAATATTAAATAAATAAAATATAAAATGGCTCATATATTATTTAGTTTGATCTACTGAAGTCGAAGACCAACATGTTCTGAAGGGTAAGCACCTCCATTGACCATTTGTTGTAAAAGGCTTTAAAGGGGTCATATGATGCTGCTAAAAAGAACATTATT